AAAAATAGAGGTAATAGAAGCAAATACTGTTGAATGATGATGCATGGAGGAGATTGTAACCATTGCAATGAAACAATGATGTAAAACCAATCTTCTCCCATGTAAACTATCACTCAATTTACAATAAACACTTAAAAAAAACACACCTGTGCAAGATGGGTACTGAAACAGCTCATGGAAGAGCATTAACAGAAGTGTTTGCACATCTGTAAACAAAATTTGGACTAATACTTGAAGGAAGGTGAAAGTTTTTTTTAAAGAAATCATTACTGATGATGAGGCATGGATTCATCACTATGACCCTGAGAGCAAATGGCAGAGTATGGAATCCCTGATGAAGAAAAAGTTTAAAAGTCAACTGGATGGTAGATTGGGTAGACATGGAGTAAGGAGTTCTGTCAGGAACACCACAGAATACCGGGACAACCAGGCTCAGGGGATGGTGCTTGAACTCTGAACCACATATAAAGGTTACTTAGAAGCTTGGAAGGCTTACAGCTAGGGGAATTTGTAGCAGAACCAAGAAATCCATTATTTTCTATCTAATTCAAGACATTCAGCTGCTCCTGGAGCCACCATCTTAGGAGAGATCAAGCAGGGGAAGGATCAGAACAACCACGGATGCCTGACAGAACGGCAGAGATACAGATGTGGACATTCTTTTTTTGGTATCTGTTCATTGGTCTCTCGCTGTCTGCGCACCTCCATTCTGGTGACTAGAGGGGACGCCTGAGTCAATGGACACCCCATCCCCTCCCCGGAGGGTTCTACTTCACAGATCTCCTGTTAAAGTGACAGTTTCCATTTAAAACCAAATGGCCACCACTCGTCTGTTAGTTTTTCATACTGTGGTGGCTTGTGAGTTGCTATGATTCTGAAAGCTTTGCCACCAGTATTTTAAATACCAGCATGGTCACCCATGGTGGACAGGTTTCAGATGAGCTTCCAGACAAAGAGAGACTAGGAAGAAAGAGTGACAAACTACTTCCGAATATTTAGTCAGAGAAAACCTTAGGGATAGTGGAGAAACACTGTCAGACACGGTGCCGGAAAATGAGCCCCTCAGGTTGGAAGGTACTCAAAATGTGACTGGGGAAGAGCTGCCTCCTCAGAGTAAAGTTGACCATGAGTGATAACATGAATGGAGTAAAGCCCGTGGGAGATGTGCTGATGGGGCACAACTCAGAATGAAGAGAAACAGCTGTAAACATCCACTGAAAATCAGAACATGGAATGTTCGAAGTATGAATCTGGGAAAATTGGAAGTTGTCAAAACTGAAATAGAACACATAAATGTGGATATCTTAGGCATTAGTGAGCTGAAATGGACTGGTATTGGCCATTTTGAATCTAACAACCACATGGTTTACTATGCCAGGAATGACAAATTGAAGAGGAATGGTGTTGCATTCATCGTCAAAAAGAACATATCCAGATCAGTCATGAGATACAATGCTGTCTGTGGTAGGACTCTATCTATGAGCCTACACGGAAGCCCAGTTAATACCACTATTACTCAAATTTATGCACCAACCACTAAAGCCAGTGAGGATGAAATAGAAGAATTCTACCAACTTCTTCAATCAGAAGTTGATCAAACATGCAATCAAGATGTATTGATCATAACTGTTAATTGGAATGCAAAGGTTAGGAATAAAGAGGAAGGATTGGTAGTTAGAAAGTATGGCCTTGGTGATAGAAATGATGCTGGAGATCACATGATAGAATTCTGCGAAACCAATGATTTGTTCATTTCAAATACCTTCTTTAGACAGCATAAGAGATGACTATACACATGGACCTCACAAGATGGAATACATAGAAATAAACTGACTACATCTGCGGAAAGAGACGATGGAAAAGCTCCATATCATCAGTGAAAACAAGGCCAGGGGCAGACTGTGGAACAGACCATCAATTATTCATATGCAAATTCAAACCAAAGCTGAAGAAAATGAAAACAAGTCCACGAGAGCCAAAATATGACCTTGAATATATCCCACCTGAATTTAGAGATCATCTGAAGAACAGATTTGATACATTAAACACTAAAACCAAAAACCGGAAGAGTTGTGGGATGGCATCAAGAACATCATACAGGAAGAAAGCAAAAAGTCATTAAGAAGACAAGAAGAAAGGAAAAGGTCAAAATGGATGACAAAAGAGACACTGAAACTTGTTCTCCAGCATAGAGATGCTAAAGCAAATGGAAGAAATGAGGAGGTAAAAGAGCTGAACAGAAAATTTCAAAGGTCAGTGCGAGAAGATAAAGCCAAATATTAGAACAAAATGTGCAAAGTTCTGGAGTCAGAAAACCAAAAAGGAAGAACACGCTCAGCATTTCTCAAGCTGGGGGAACTGAAGAAAAAAATTCAAACCTCGACTTTCGTTATTAAAGGATTCTCTGGGCAAATTATTGAATGATGCAGAAAGCCATCAAAAGAAGATGGAAGGATTACACAGAGTCACTGTACCAAAAGGAAATGGTTGATGTTCAACCATTTCAAGAGGTAGCCAATCAAACTGAAGGAAAAATTCCAAGGCGCACTGAAGGAATTGGCAAGATCAAGCACCAGGAATTGATGGAATAAAAATTGAAATCTTTCAGGAAAATGAGGCGGCACTGGAGGCACTCACTCATTTATGCCACAAAATTTGGAAGACAACTATCTGGCCGACTAATTGAAAGAGATCCATATTTGTGCCCATTCCAAAGAGAGGTGACCCAACAGAATGCAGAAATCACCAGACAATCTCTTTGATATCCCATGCGAGTAAAGTTTTACTAAAGGTAATAGAGAAACGGCTGCAAGCATATATTGACAGAGAACTTCCAGAGGTTCCAGCTGGATTAAGAAGGGGCCATGGAATGAAGGATATCATTGGTGATATCTGATGGATCTTGGCTGAAAGCAAATACCAAAGAGATGTTTACCTGTGCTTTACTGACTATGCAAAAGCTTTCGATTGTGTGAATCATGACAAACTATGTAGAACATTGCGAAGTATGAGTATTTCAGAACACTTAATTGTGCTCATGAGGAAGAAGAGGCAGTTGTTCAAATAAAACGTGGGATCACTGAATGGTTTAAAATTAAGAAAGCTGTGCGACAGGTTTGTGTTCTTTCACCATACTTACTCAAACTGTATGCTGAGCAAATAATCCAAGAAGCTGGGTTATATGAAGAAAAACATGGCACCAGGATTGGAGAAAGACTCATTAACAATCTGCAAAATGCAGATGATACAACCTTGCTTGCTGAAAGTGAAGAGGACTTAAAATATTTACTGATGAAGATCAAAGAGCGCAGCCTACGGTATGGATTGCATCTCAATGTCAAGAAAACAAAAATCCTCACCACTGGACCAACAAACAACATTCTTACCAATAGAGAAAAGTTTGAAGTTGTCAAGGACTTCATTCTTCTTGGATCAATCATCAACACTCATGGAAGTAGCAGTCAGAAATTAAATGATGTATTGCATTAGGCAAATTTGCTGCAGAAGATCTCTTTAAAGCATTTAAGAGCAAAGATGTCAGTTTGAGGATTAGTGTGAGCCTGCCCCAAGCTATGGTATTTTCAGTAGTCTCATATGCATGTGAAAGTTGACAATGAAGACTGTAGAAGAACTGATATATTTGAATTATGGTGTTGGTGAAGAATAGTCAAGAAAGAATAGTCAGAAGAACAAACAAATCTGTCTTTTAACAACTACAACCATACTGCTTCCTAAAAGTCAGGATGGCAAGACTTTGTCTCTCATACTTTGGACACGTTATTAGGAGGAACCAGTTCCTGGAAAAAGTCATCATGCATGGGAAAGTAGAGTGGCATCGAAAAAGAGGAAGACCTCCAATAAGATGGACTGACACAATGGCAGCAACAATGGGCTCAAACATAACAATTTTGAGGCTGACACAGGACTGGGCAGTATTTTGTTCTGTTGTGTATAGAGTAGGAACTCAATGACAGCCTCCAACAACAACACCAACAACAAATAGATTTTATTAATTTAACTCTGTATTTAAGATATTGTTTAGTGAAGTATATTATTAAATTGATGCTCAAAATGTATACCCGTTTGATGTGGAAATGTGTGTACCACTCAGAACATTTAATTTAGGGGACAAGAGAAGTCAAGAGAGAAGTAAAAGTATACTTTGGTCTCTGCAGTATTTTAAAGCCCACATTTTGACACAGTGGATAAAAAATAAAAAACAAAGACACTACACTTAATTTAGGCATCTCAAAGTCCATTTTTCCTACCTTACTATTTCCTCTGGGTAGCAATTATTAATGCTGTTGATGTATTCTTGAAGGAGAGATCCAGGTTCTGCTTTTATCTCTTGGACCTTTTTAAGTCCACCACTTGTTACAAAAAGTCTTCGAGCTTTGCTATCATGTGGCAGCACCTTGAAATGTGAATCACATAAAAATTCCAGGTGTTTTTTTATTACTACTTTTTACTACTGAAAAACAATAACATTATCTGAGAAAATGTGAAAGAGAACTTATGCCCAATATACTTATTACAGAATTAGCCTAAATTTGTTGATGAATGAAAGTAAAATGCACTCTTCAGAAGTGTCTTAACTTTTTATGCTTTGGAGACAGAATAAAGACAGGCATATGGAAAACACAAAAGCGGTATCCCTTCTTAGTTTATACCCATTCAGGGCCTCTTCACTACTTAGGTGACCCAACTCTTACATGCCTCTCCAGACTCCTTTCCCATCAAAGTCTATCACCAATTTTGTTGCAAGAGCATCAAAGTATGCATGCAGTTCCTTTACCCAAGTTTTGTCTTCTTCCTAAAATGTCTTCCATAGTCCATGTACTTCTCCTTTACTTGCTGACTCTTCTCTCATCTTTTTAAAGACTCAGCTCAGGTGTCACCTTCCTTTAAGAAACTTTTTCTGGGGCTGTCCAACTCTCATCCCAGGATGACTTACATACTCTCTTCCCTCATAGTAAGTACTCTGTCAAACTCCTGTGGGGCACTTACCACATGTTATTTTGATTATCTGTTAGTATGCATGTTATATATATATATAATTGGAGATAAGAACCATAACATTCATTTATTTATAACCATAGTGCCTGGTGCCTAATCAATGCTCAAGAAATGTTCAACAAATGAAGGAAGTAGGTGGAGAAAAACAAAGAGTTAAAGAGTTAACATGAGCTGAGGAGAGCACTGGGAGTTAGAGAGCACAGTCAAATTCAAATGTTTCCTAAAGAGAAAATGGAGAAATCAACAGGATGAGCTCAGATAGAACAAACTGTACAGGTGCTTTTGCTTTGTTCTTAGGATCAGAGACTTAAGCATGTTTTGCATGGTGAGAGAAAAGAATCGGCAGAGATGCAGAAATTAATTATGCAAGACAAAACAGACCAACCAAACCAGGGAGGTCATGGTGAGAGTGTGGATTCAAAAGGTGGAAAGTCTTACTTGCTCACTGCTATTCTCTCTGGCAGAAACAATCTTTTCCTGTCCACTCTTACACGATCTTCAAGGACCCACTTTTTCCACTTGTACTTCCTCCTTTAAGCTTTCTCTAAAAAGACTGTATTCACTTAGTCTTTCTTTGATAAACATTAAGTTATTCATCAAGTGTTTCCTAATTGTTTTGTCTGTTGTCCCCAGTTAGATTATAGAGTTCCTTGAAGAACTCTGTCATATTCTTTTTTGTCAACTAACAGTAGTGAGTACATGTAGACATTAAACAAATAGTTAAAAGTACAAAAGGATAATAATAGAAAAATAAAGCAAATCATCTGGACAATAAAGGATCATATTAGCAGGTATTTTTTAAACGGAATTACCAAGCTCACCAGCCGCTCCTCGGAAACCCTATACAGGTTCGCTATGGTCAGAACTGACAGGGCAGCATTTGATAATAATAACATAGATAGGTAAGTTGTAAATATTTGGCTTAACAAATATCAGTTCACCTTCTGCCTTATTTTCTCATTCTCCTTCTAGTGCTGTGGTATCCTTAGATTAAAAGTGCACCAAATTCTGCCTGAAGCAAATATTCCTGAAGGCCTATTTATAAGTTTATATGATATGAGGAATTGTCTTTATTTGAGTTGGCCACTGCTTTATTTTTTATTACTTTATTGTGACTTATTTTGAATTCTTAACATAGTAAGCTTAGGAAAATTGCAACATCTTGCTCATTAGCCTAAAAGATTAGACTACAAAATTGTTGCTGTTGTTGTCAAGTGCCATTGAGTCGGAAC